CGTGCAGATTGCATCGATTAATCATTTTTTTTAGAAAAAAAGAATACAAAATTCAATATTATACATTGTAAGGTCTCACATTGTGTACAATCTCTTTTTAAGTGTAATTTTTTATAACCGGCATCTTGTTATAACGGCGATCTTAACAGGTGTTGTGTACGAATTTATTTAGTGTCACCAGGTGTCAAGGATGATTGAATAACGATATTAATAAAATTGGATTATCCACGTTATATAATGTATGTTTTGCACTTAAATAAAATCCTTAAAAAAAATGAAATATATATTGTACCAAGAGATTTATCAAATCTTATGTTATATAATGTATAATATAGTCTTCTTCCTTATATACGTAAACATATATATACATATATATATATATATATTTCTTTTCCCTTTTTGGGTAGGGGTGCATAAATCATAAATGTACTAGGTAACAAAAAAATCTATATAATAACCAAAACAACAATAATATGAATTCTTACAAATAGACTAACTGTTATGTCCCTCATAAAATTGGCCAAATGCGACTAAATATACTTTATTTATTATTTCATTAATGTCATCTAGATTGATAATAATCCTTACAATTACAAATAATTAGATGAATATTTTGACTAATCAAAAATTTAATGCACAACTGTTGCACAGATTATTTTTTCGGAAAAAGAATATATTTGGATACTACTCCCTCCTTGCGATGCTTATTATAAGATATTTTAACTTTTGAGTTGTCATAAGTTTCACATAACTCATTTTTTAATTGGCAAAAAAATTTTAAATATATATTTCCACATTCGTTGTATTTTCTTGATTAATATGAAATATTTTTAAAAAAATTTTGTAAATAAAAAGTGCATATTAAGTAAAACTTAGAACAAATTAAAATATCTTATACTAAAAACTGGATGGAGTATAAATTTACAATAAAAAATTCAACTGTTAACAATACACAGTTACACACACCCACAACACCAAATTGTCATCTTCCCGAATTAAGGCAAGTGTAGGTTAACAAACCAAAAACTGAAAAGCATATAATGTTAATTAAATGTACAATACTAAAAGAACTAGTACCAAGGAGACAGATTTTGCATATTAAATTTGTTTGCTTCAAGAAGTTGCAATAAGAGTAATAATAATCAATATTTAATAATCTATATCTATACAATTAAATATGTTCATTACTCACTCCGTTCCAAAATAAGTGTCCTTTTAACAAAATGAAGAAATTTCAAAATAAGTGTCGTTCTCACATTTCAATGCATTTTTGTCTAAAATTTTCAAAATTACCCTCAAAAGAATTAATACTATTGGTGGACATTGTTTTAATGGGGTTAAGTGAGGATATTCAAGTAATTTTATTATCCTAATTAATAGTTTCTTAAACTATATGCAAAGTGTAGGATAACACTTATTTTGGAATGGAGGGAGTAACTAAATTACCACAACCGCCATATCTCTCCTTCAAAATTTTTATACAAAAAATTTCAAACAATTATGGAATGACCAAACAAAAACAACTATTAACCGCATGCACTTACCGCCTATATTGTATTTTAATTCAACTCTTCATAGATACACCTTTGATGAAACCGAAGCATAAACCAGATAACTTTGACGAATAAGTTTCAAGTAGGGAATATGATGTCAAAATCAGTCATTTTTATATGGAATACAATTTCGTAGCTAATTATCTCGCAATGACAATACCAGCATGCAGTAATAAACTCGGGAAGGATTTGTGCAATTGAAATTATTGCCACCATGTACATTATTAGATGATTAAACATATACTGTATATCGGTTCCATTATAACGGAGATTGCACGACAAGAGCTCTTGCAATCTTTGTAACATTTGGCAATGGTAATGCTTCCGTTGTCAAATCTAGGACTTTTACAATTATATTTACTGATGTCATGTGTTAATGGATGATTAAAATCATGTTTTTATAATGTGAAATTTTCTAACCGGGATAATGTAAGGTTACATTATGTAAATCTCTCAAAATGTAATTTTATAGTTTATATGTCTCAAAATTATTTTTCACTTTTAATTTTTATTTTTATTTTAATTTATACTAAAAATAAAAATCCATACTGAATAATAATTTCATTACGGAAGGAATAATTAGTCATTAAGATGGCAATGTCGGCGTCAGGGGGATATTACAAATGTATTTGTCGTCACCCGGTGCTATTGAATGATTAAGTAAAGACATTAATAAAGTTGCAATATTCACAAGTCATTACAACGTGTAAAATTATTTTTAAAGAAGGATAATAAATTCAATATTGTATATTGTAAAATGTGAAAATATTTTGACGTGCTATAAACTTAACATTACATTATATAAATTAGATGTTAAACCTGTCTGATGGTTGGAGCAGAAAAATTATCAAGAAAATAAATTATTGAGATTGAAAATAAAAGTTTTACGAAATTAAAAATAAATGGCACGGTTATAAATTGTTTGTCATGTTACTCGTCTTAGATATTAAATCAGTCTGATGGACATAGCAGAAAAATTATCGAGAAAATAAATTATTGAAATTGAAAATAAAAATTTTACGAAATTAAAAATAAATTGCGCTGTTATAAATTGATTTGTCTTGTTACTCGTCTCTCTATTTTCATAACACCTTAAAACTTTAAATCCTTCTCTTGATAGAAATATGAATAGAATAATATATAGCTGACCATGGTTGAAAATCGAACGTGAGAAAAGGGACTATTCTTGACTATTTTAAATTGTTATGAGAAAAAAAGAAAACCTATATGAAATTGTCTTCTTTTTATTTTAAACGAAAATTTGGTGTCAGAAAGAGACAAAGACATGGGAGGAATGTATATTTCTTCTTCTTACGTGGCTGCTTGAGATAACTTTGCTTCAGTAACACATTGTCCCAATCTAACGATACGAAGTCTAATACTATCACACAATTTACCTTGTTGATCATCATACCCAACAATATTGTATAAAATCTATTTTGAGTAATTTTATAATAGCTTATTATTATGACTATAACGCAGTGAGGTCAAATTTTAGAAAGTTTGTTCAAATCTATTTGTTTTCACCAGGAGTTACTCGATGGTTAAATAATGATATAAATAATGTTGAAATATCCACGAGCCATTACCTTGTAGATTGCATTGAACAATCGTTTTTTTTTTTTGGAAAAAGAATAAGGAATTCAAATTGTACATTGTAAATGAGAAATACTTTGACCCGGTAGTAATATTTTACATTATGTAAATTCCTTTTTTAAGTGTTATTTTTATAACTAGTATTTAGTTCTTATAACGGCAGTTTTAACAGTACTGGATTCTGGAGGGATTGTATTTAGTGTCACAAGGTGTCATTTGACCCGGTATATGTGTAAGTTTCACATTGTGTAAATTTCTCTAAGTGTTATTTTTATAAGCAATATTTGATTCTTATAACAGCAATCTTAACAGTATCGGATTCTGGAGCGATTGTATTTATCGTCACCAGTTGCCATTTGAGTCAGTATACGTGTAAGTCTTACATTGTGTAAATTTCTTTAAGTACTATTTTTTGTATAAGTGGTATCTAGTTCTTATAATGGCAATCTTAACAGTATCGAATTTTAGAGTAATTGTATTTAGCGTCACCAGGTGTCATTTGACCTTGTGTACTCATATTGTTTAAATTTCTTGAAGTGTTATTTTTTATTAGTATTTGGTTCTTATAACGATAATCTTAACAGTACGGGATTATGAAGATATTGTATTTAGCATCACCATGTGTCATTTGACCCGGTATATATGTAAGTCTCACTTTGTATAAATTTCTTTAAGTGTTATTTTTTTATAAGTAGTATTCACTTCTTATAATGATAATCTCAACAGTACCGGATTCTAGAGAGATTGTATTTAGGGTCATCATCAGGTGCCATTTGACCCGATATGTGTATAAGTTTCACATTGTGTAAATTTCTTTTAAGTGTTATTTTTTATAATTAATGTCTGGTTGTTATAACGGCAACAACAACAAGTCCTTTTCCCATCAGGTGGGGTCAATTAAATGGATCATATGTCGTCATCGTACTCGATCGGTGCATAAATCATCGGACGAATTTAAATATTTCAAATTATTTTTGATAGTTTCTTTCTATGTTTTCTTATGTTTACCTCTACCTCTTTTAATTTGAATTCTTAATTCTATAGTTTCTACCATTATTAACCAAAGCTTGTCTCCTGCGTACATGCCCAAAAGACTATCTCAAGCGACTTTCTCTCATTTTTTTGTCTATTGGAGCTACCCCTACTTTATCTCTAATAGAATTATTTATAATCCTATCTAATATAGTATCACACATCTATCTTAATATTCTTATCTCTGGTGCTCGCATTTTTTGCTCATTTTCATATTTAGTCGCCCAACACTCAGATCCATAAAGCATGGTGTGTTATAATGGCGTAAAGTACTCGGATCCCTATCCACTTCTTTTTTAATACAATCATTTATGCTCATTCTTATAATGGCAATCTTAACAGTATCGAATTTTGGAGAGATTGTATACGTGGCCAGGTGTATTAGATGATTGAACAACACTATCAATAAACTTGGATTATCACATTATAATGTATACATCGCACTTATGTAAATACTTACAAAAATAAAATATATTCTACCAAGAAATCTATTAAATCTTATGTCTATCTAGTCTAGTCTTCTTCCTTATTTCTTTTTTATTTTCCCGGTTTGGAGTGCATTAATTAGAAATGTACTCTATATAATAATAAAGAAAAACAGTAATAAGAAGTTTTAAAAATAGACTAATTAACTGTACATCCCTCATAAAAGGCCAAATTCAATTAAATATACTTTATTATTATTTCATTAATGTCATCTAAATTGATAATAATCCTTAAAATTACAAATAATTAGATGACTATTTTGACTAATTAAACAACCTAAGTCTTCTCAATTAGTCTTTCCCTCAGCCTGGCTTGGTTTTTTTTTTTTTTTTTCATTTCCTAAAAACTTCAAGAAGAAGGAGATGATCCAATGCCATTGTCCATGTTATGATCCCCGCTCTCATTGGTGTTATCTTCGTCGCCATCATCATTTAGGCTGCTGTTCATGTTGTACCCATGTGGGCTGATACCGCCATTATTTCCGGCATTGTGGTCGTTGTTGGTGGCAGCGGCGGCGTTGCGGTGGGGATTGCTACTAGTACTAGTTTCTTTCTTGCTGCCGAAAGTGTTCTTATTGTTATGCATCCAAACCTTTAGAACCCCTCTGGTCACCCCAATCTCCTTGCAGAAATTCTCCACTAAGCTTTGATTGCTTCTTTGCATTTTCCATCCTAAGCTTTCAGCGAAGGAATGCATTCTCTCCTTCTGTTGTGGGGTGAATTTTGTCCTGAACCGCTTCCGGCCGCTCAGACTGTGCTCCCCAGATTTGGTGCTACTCGGCGTCACCGGCGTTGCGACGGTGAACTGGTGGTGGTTCGGAACCTGCTGGTCGTCCTGCGCCGCCGTGCTGAGGGCGAGTAGCATCTGGGAAGCTGGTGGGTAGCTCAGAACAGTCGAATGCTGCGGCGGCGGAGGAGGCGGCGGCGGTGGCTGCGGCGGCGGGGGAGAAGGAGATAGATAAGGCCTTCCGGACTTGCGGAAGTCGATGAAATGTGGGGTCACAGACGGCATGAAATGACGAGATGCTGCATGATCGTCGGGCTCCTGGCGGTGGAAATTGCGGTGGCAGCCACAGGCGGCGCAAGTTAGTGAGGCGGGGTCGTCGGGAGTGGCGGCGGCGGAGGCCATGAATTCGCCGCAGCCGTCAAGAGCATGAACTCCCAACTTGGCAGCATGGTTCTTGTGACATTCTCGGAAAGTCACCGACGGCGCCGCATAAGGCGGTGGTTGGTGGTGATGATGGAGGTGGTGGTGGGGGTGATGAGGGTGGTGGTGGTGGTGGTGGCCCGTGGCCGCCGAAGTGCCGTTGGTGAAAGGGAATTGCCTAATGGGTTGGGAACGAGGTGGGGTATCATTGTCAGAATCAGGAGTGGTGGTGGTGGTGGTGGGAGAGCTAGTTGGATTGTTGTTTAAAACCATTGGTAAGGGGATTAAAAAAAAAAAAAAAAAAACAATCCAAGATTAGAACAACATGGTTAAAAAAAAAAAAAGAAAAAAAAAACTTAAGAGATCATCAGATTGAGAAAGGAACTATGTTTTTTTCTGTGTATTTGAGAATTCTAAGGTTGATGTTGGTGTTGAAGAAGGAAAAATGGTCGGAAAATGAGGTGAGATGAGATTTTAAGGATTGGATTAAGGGGATGGACTATATATGCAACTGGGGGAAGGACTGTGGAGATACTGAAAGAGGTGGAGACTTGTTTGATAGTGAGGGATGATAAATGAGGAGAGTTATGTACAAATGTACAAATGTCGACAAAAAAGTCTTTCCAAGAGTAACCCACCACTTAATTTAAGGAAATCTGAGGTTTGGGATTGATCGGAAGGTTTTTAGCGGTTACGGATATCATCAAATTCAGACACATTTGTGTATTATGTGAATTCATGGGCACTTTTTATTTTTAATTGATTTTTTATTTGGGGATGATGAAATGATGATGATGATGACGAGGATAAGGATTGAGGGGGAATGGAGTTTTTTTTACTGGTCATGAAAATAAAAATAGTTGGATGTGGGCAGTAAATATTTACTCTCATCACTGGTTCCATGCCAATTAATTGGTCCATTGGAGTGGCAGGGTAGCTAGCTCCATTGTCAAACTTGAGAAATAGTAAAGAGTAAACTTGACCCGTACTTCAAACTCACCCTTCCTTGTTTTCAGGTACTCCCTCTGTCTCATAATTATTATTCAATTTAGATTTTTATTTCTAATTTAAATTATACTATCTCAAATTGGACAATAATTTTGGGACAAAGAGAGTAATTTTTTTAATAATCCAACAAACAAAATGGTACGATAAAAAAAGCACAAAATAAGACATTTTATATTAAGAGTAAATGCAGTTCTTCTATCTCGAATGTCACTTGAATCTGTAACGTATTAGAAATAGAAAACGGCATCTTAACGTGATCTTATAAATTACTAGCACCAAATGACCGTAACGTATTGGAAACAGGAAACGGCGTTTTAACGTGATCTTATAGATTACTGGCACCAGGAAAGATTAGTAGGAGTCCACCCTCCATTGTTGCTCTAGCTGCGAAAAGATGTTGAATCCCAAGTCTACTTGCATCAAGATTCAAGGAATACGGTTGAGTTCATACTAATTGATTGTGACCGTTCTTCCCGATAATTACCCCAAAGAGGAAAGGGAAGTCAACGATAAAAGTAGTACGACTACTTACAAACAAAATCCCAATCAAGTAAAATGAAAACAAATAGTAAAGTTAGCAAGAATATTAGCCCTCGAAAATTATCGAATGAATCCGTCGTGATTGGGTTTGAATTTTTATGTACTTCTTTAATTGACAGCACCTTGTTATTATTAACCGAATTATAAGTTATTTGACCAATATAGTTAATTGCTATTAATCCCACTGTTCAGATGATTTTCTTGTTTTATTTTGAAAACAAACAAAAATATCTAACTCTAAAAGTGCTATAAAAAGCTAGGAATGGTGTCTAATCATGATTTAGCTCGTTGTGAATTGTTGACTAATGACTTTTTATCTTAATCTTGTTTCCAAGTTGCTATTCTGGTCCAATGATTGGACCGCAGCTGGAGCATTCCCTTTTCCCCTTTAAATAGATTTGCTAATTTTTTTAAAATAAATAATAACAATAGAAAGCTATAAACAAACCAGCTTCGAATTTCTGTTATCCCTTTTACCTTATTAAAGCAGAATACAAGATGTTGATGTGACAACTTTTTATTAAAAAATTTTGGCTCCAAATACACCATATTGCTTTAATCATTCTGCCACGTGCCATCTTTTTTTAAAAGATAAAAAAACTTCTTATCCGGAAAAACAAAAGCTAATTTACAAAAATAGCTACACAATTTTAACTTCTAACACTTATCATTTATCAATCAAATTAAGATAGGATTTAAATTTGTCCATAAACTTATCCCTTTTATTACTCCACATTCTTTTGTATGATTTCTGCATCGGTGTACTTTTTAATTTTTTTTCTTTTTTTGCAGATGATTTTTTTTATTTTTATTTTTATTTTTGGCTAAAAAGGGGAAAAAATAAATGTGTAGCTATTTTATTTTTTCCAAATCAAAAATTCATTTATCTATTAACACAAAATTAAAGTAGAGGGGGCACCCGGGCATCTGCCTGGGCCAAGCATCTAGTTTCCATTTATAGGAAAAAAAAGGTCAATCGCATAGAAAAATTGAAACTTTCCACAATTGCGCTAACGGAAGATGTATTATTAAAAGTTAAAATAATTGAGTAGTGTGTGCTAATTCAAAATATGTGCATCTTCTTAATCACTTTTTTTTTTCCTATTGCTTCGCTAATCAACTTGTCTGATTCTTCGATTGTACACGTTCCACATCTAGTAGCCATTAAAACAACATTATTCTTGTTATCATTCCATTATTCAAATATAAAACTAAAATAAAAATCGGGTTCTAATTACCTACGCTTTTAACAAACTTGTGCCGCGAGAAGAAAACTTTTTTATACTCCAAGTGGAATATATTTGCGGGCGCAACAAAAACAATCGTATCTAATGTATTTATCTTATGTATTTATCCATTTTAGAGAGTACGAGTTTAAGTTTCATAAGTTACAGAAAAGTAAGTTCTATTTATGTCTCAAAATCATTGTTTAGTTTGAATTTTCACTTTTAATTCAATTTGTATTAAAATTGAAAATCCAAACTAGATAATAGTTTTAAGACAAAGAGAGTCTTTTTTAATGACGAAGTTAGAACATAAATAAGTGCAGTATTCTTCTATTACTTCGCACGTGCTCCTCCAAAATGTTGGCTTTGCCTCAACTTCCATAAAAAATTTCATGTTTCCATCCTTCCGGTGGAATCATACTGTAATACACTTATGTACGAATTCACATTTATAATTTCATTAAAAAAAAAAAAAGAAGAAGAAGGAAGGAGGAGGCGTTTATTTAATTGATGCTCTCCAAGGTCATTTCAAGTCACTCACTTGTTGTAAATTCGTAGATTTCTTATACTATGAAGGTGCTTTCAGTAATTGTACTAACTTTTCACAGTTGATCTCAGAATTTAATGATAAACCAATGAAAAGAAAGACCCTTAAAAGTTGGGTGGACGTACGCAAAATGCATTTAAGACTTGCATTAAGAGAAGCAAGAACCTGGTGGTGCAGAGCAGAGAGAATTGAAGAAGAAGAAGAAAGAGTTAAAAAGCCGAAAATTGTGCTGCAAAGAACTGTACAAAAAGATGGTAACTTGGAAGAGCAAAATGAGTTCCAAAATCACGCTTAGCCTATGATATGGGCCTTTCTTCTCGCACTCTATGTATTTCGTCAAAATAGCTTTAATTGAAATATGGAATCAAAGAACAATGCCCTGACAATTGTGTCACCATCAATGTGCACGCCAACCATATGCAAATGTGAATCTTCTTAAGTGTAGGACTTCAACTATACTACACTAGAGATTATGAGCTTTTTATGACATTTGGTAAAACTTTTTAGAGATAAAGATCTTGGTTCACATGGTAAGAGTATTGAATGTTTTAATTATGATTCAAATTTGATTAACACATGAACACATAACATTTTTTTTTTCTTTTTGAAAAACAAACTTTCATTAAACTTGCTGAAATTCAGTCTAACTTTCATATAACATAAATATAAATACTTTGTAAGAAATTTTCGTTTCGTAAAAAATATTGAACAGATTCAAATCATAATTCATTAGCATTGTGATTTGAGAGACAAAATCTAATACAAAATCATGTATATGTATATCACAAAATTTAAACACCCTTGATTGTTTTTAGGGTAAAGAATTTCTTTCGAGATGTAAGAATCAAATGGAATTTGTGAATCGGATGCATGCCATGCAATTAATTTATAATAGTTAATTAGAGACATAGATGTGCGATCTCAAAATCATCATTACCAGTAAATTACATCTATACAGATTAGCGCGTATCAAATAGGGAAGCTAGATAATGAAAATTTGTCACGCCCAACTTGCAAAATATGCCAATTAAATGGTCGAAAATGTCTTCAAGAAATCCCTAATGATTCTGTGTTCTTATTCCTAGCTAGCTAGGCCGGTTCTGCCCATGCCCTATTTTCTTCAAGTAACCGCGGAAAACATCCAATCATCATCACTAATCAGTAATCACCAAAAAAAAAAAAGAAAAAAGAAAAAGGAAGACAAGATTGAGAATACTGTGCGCATTAATTAAAAAGCGTGATAATACACCTGGCGAAAGTTTATAATACAATGAAAATAAATAAAGACAAGTAAAATGAAAAAATAAAATAAAATAAAGTCACTAATCTCATTTATAACAATTGCCACATATTCACGCTTTTCTGCTTATCATAGGCGCACACGCTGTTATAAGTTGTTGATCAGGTCGAATTATGTGTAATTTCGGGGGCATTATCGATCACAAAGTGCATGGGAATGGGAATAATAATCCTGGTTTAAAGCAAAGCTTACTCAAACAAATGTCAGGCATCTCGCAGCATTTGTCCTCCCTGAATATATTCTCCTGCAAATGATTACTTCATTTTGTGATAAGTCTTAAAGCGTAATTTAAATTATGTAAAGATATTTTGTTTGTATGACATATCGTCAAATAAGTACCGAAATGAAAAGCATTACATTTGTAATTGTGTTGTCACCAGTTTGTTGGAAATAATTTGACCAACTACCATCGAATTGTCTTAGTTAAATAATTAATTAGATATACAACTGTTCAATAATTGAATCTAGAATTTTCAACAAAAGAGGTAGTAGGAGCTAAATTGGTGTTGTTGGTTGGGGGGATTAAGAACATTTTCTGTTCAAACTGCCGACTGATATTATGTTGTTAGGGCTGGATTGAAAACCAGCATCGACTTGGTTAATTAGTCAAAATGACTGAATT